TTTGCAGCCCCTGAATTAAAATATTTAGGTTACAAAATATCTCAAAAAGGGAATCGAGACAGATGAATCAAAAATAATCGCTGTACAAAAGTATCCGACTCCAAACACGGCAAAGAAGCTCTCTTCTTTTCTAGGACTTTGTTCATATTATAGGTCCTTTATAAAAGATTTTGCGGCTATCGCTGAGCCATTGTTAAAATTAAAAAGGAAAAAGGCAAGATTCTCGTGGACGGCCGAAGCCAATAGTGCTTTCGAAAAATTAAAACAAGCATTAACGCAAGCCCCTGTGTTTGAAATTTCCTGAAAAGGATGAGAATTTAGAAATTTCAGCGGATGCTTCGGATTATGCGGTAGGAGCGGTACTTTCGCAAAATCAGCAGCCCGTGGCATTTTTTAGCCGAACTTTAAATCAAACACAAAGAAACTATTCCGCGACCGAGAGAGAGGCACTTGCAGTTCTGTTAGCAGTGCAAAAGTTCCGAGTCTATTTTGGAAAGGCGCCGATAACAGTGTATTCTGATCATGCGGCGGTAACTAGATTGTACTCAGGGAAAAATTTATTATCCCCAAGGTTAATAAGATGGGCACTCAAGCTGCAAGAATATAATCTGGTAATCAAGCATACCCCCGGAAAGGAAAATATCGTAGCAGATGCCCTATCACAGAATTAAAATTAGATGAACAAGGGTAATACCGTAAAAGGTGGCAATGCTCACAGCATGTACAATAAATTCCCGAGAAACTGTAATAACCGAACTGGGTAAGGATCCTGAGTTTGGAAGTATTTATGAGTATTTGAAGGATCCTGAAAATTTTAGCCACCAAGATATTGTGGCGATAAGAAATAGGGCGGCCCATTACGAACTAATAGATGGTCTATTATTTTATACAAAAACTACGAATTCCAACAACGAATTTCGACCTGTTATCCCAGCTAGTCTTAGATTAAATATCCTGCAAGGAGCTCCATGACAGCCCTTTAGCTTCTCATGCTGGTATTCGAAAAACTATCCAACGCGTACGCGAGGCAGTCTACTTTCCTGAACTGCAAAAGTTAACAAGGGCGTATGTCCAGTCCTGCCCAACATGTCAAGCAGTTAATTATATAATTAATTTCCGCCCGGCCGGGTTTCTAAATAGTATTAAATCCGAATTTCCAAATGAAATAATTGGCATCGATTTATTGGGCCCTTTCCCAAAAAGTCAGTTAAACAAAAGTCGCTATCTCCTTGTTATAGGTTGATCATTTTAGTAAATGGACCGAAATTGTTCCCTTAAAACGAGCCTCCGCGAAATTAGTTACTGATTCTATTTTAAATAAATATATTTTAAAATACGGGGCGCCCCTAAAAGTTATATCGGATAATGGTCCTCAATTTGTAAGTAATATATTTGAAGACATGTGCCAAAAACTGGGCATACGTCATTTAAAAATGGTCCCGTATCGGCCGCAATCAAATATAGCGGAACGGGTCAACAGAAATATAGTGAAAATTATCCGTAGTTATGTTAAAAATTTTCATAAAAGCTGGGATAACTATGTCAATGAATTTTGCTTTCGCCCTTAGGACCGCAAAACATGATACAACGGGCAAAAACTCCTGCTGAGTTATTTCTAGGCAGAAAGATTATAACACCGTTAGATAAATTATTTTATGTGCAACAAAGAGCCCCAGAATTTAAAATGGGTGATATAGAAAAACTAATAAAAGAAGCAAAAAAGAATACGGAAGTAGCACAAGAAAAACAAAAATTGTATTATGACTTGAAACGACGGGGAGTAACTTATAAAGTAGGGGATGAAGTTTTAAAAATTAAGCATTCACTTTCTTCAGCACCAGAAGATAAAACTGCCAAATTTTTTTCCACGATTTGAAGGACCATATGTTATAGAAAAAATAACTCACGCTGTAGTGTAGTGTTAAAAAGGCCAAGAAATGGTGAAACCTGTTCCGCCGCAAATTGATCAAATCAAGCCCTACTTCGATCGTAATAAAATGCAAATCTTTTCAGATCTTTTGCAGGATCCGGCACGGCAGACACCGCAGGTACAAGTTCCAGAGGTGGAAAACGACAAGTACAAGGGCAAGCCAATGAGAGACAGAAGCAAGTGAAAAGAAAATTGCCCCGCGGAAAAATTGAAGGTAAAAAGAAAAAGAAGCCGTTCCACCGTCCAAAAAACAGAGTTCACGAACACCCCCAGAATGAAGAAGGGAGAAGGACGACGTATGTGGAAAAGACCAGGGAGAAAGGACGGCAACTATAACCCGGCTCTGAAACGGAAGATCTGACTCATCCGACAGGAACTCTCCGCAGCAAAAGTCGCCGAACTGCGGAAGGGCCATCAGCGGCGGAGGAAAAAGTTACAAGGAAAAATTTGAACGGCCAACAACGAGGTCCAAGCAGCAGGATCACGACAGAAGTTTCCCGGTTCCGCCACCAAGACCAGCTGCCTTCAAACGGCCAAGACCACAAGCAGAGGACAAAAGGAAGATGTTCAAGGGTGGCCGTAACTGGTGAAAAACGGAAGCTTCCAGAGGAAAGCACTGAAGGGCGAGCCCGTACAAGAAGGAGGATCAAATCCAAGCTACGGTCTGCAGCACCTTTAAAGACTGGGCCCAGAAAAGGATGTCCGAATATTACAAAGATAAGTAAAATTTTATGTTACTTTGCAAACTTAAGTTAATCTTTCATTCTTACTGCAAGTGGCAGATTTCAAGAAGTTTTACCTCATGCGAGGTCTACCTTTATCGCCAAAAGGGCGAGAAATGAGTTGTTGACCGATTTTCTTATTATGTTTTTCAATTACTCGCGCGTAAAACTAAAGTTGATGTATAATAGCGTTGTGTAAAGACTTAAATATTGTAAAAAGTTATTGTATAAATTTTATTTAAAACATTCTAACAAGAAAGAAGTTTTAGTCTGAAAGACTTTTTGAAATGTAGTATTATTTCAATGTAGAAAGAATTGGCACTTGCTTTGAAAAGAATAGAAGTTAACAATGTACTACTAATGTATGTTTTCAAATGTGTAAAATTAACGGCATGTTGATATGTTCTTATATACAATGTGAACTGTTATTTTGAATGTTAAGAAATACCGTGATATGGTAAAAGTGAAAGTAATGTTAAAAAATTTGTTATTCGTGTGACTGTAAAGATTAAATCATGGTGAATATGTGTTAAAGGTTGAATGATGTAGTTAGGCTCTCTGACGCTACACTTTAGAGTTAGCCACTTTCAGAATAGTACCTCAGGGTTTAGAGTTGAAATTAGGGTGTGTTAAGAGGTCTCGTTATGTTGAATTTTAACACGTTAGTGTTTTGATTGTAGGAGGAAGTGTGGAACACGTAGACAGAAACACATTCGTGTTTGGTGTTCTTTTACAACACATGTCAGAGAGCACGGGGAGAGATAATTAAAATAGTCATAAATCATGAATATGTTATTTGCAATGTCATTCTGTAACATTTCATTAAACTAGTTTTCCTTCCAGATCTCTGGAAGGAACCAGAATTGAATAAAAGCTCCTGTTTAGATGCAGTACAGATGAAAAAGAAAAAAGATTGTTGTATATTCCGGGGAGCTGCTATTGTAACAAATTTCTTTCTTTTAAAATTTTCTAGTTTCTAGCTAAGTTATGTTGTAAAAGGTTGGCCTCGCGTTAGTTTTCTAGAGCTAAAAGTTTTCAACAAGGTCGTTTTAGACCTCAGTTTCAAAACTAATTAACTCTGGCGGGAAGTATGTAAGGATCTTAAGTTTTACTAACGTTTATTTTATTTTAAATCTTTACTATCACTTCTTATTTTCTACTTCCGGCCAGAATTATAAGCGTGAAGGAGTTTATGCAAAGTTTGTCTGGCGAACGCCAAGTATTTAAGTGTGGCCTTTTTGCCAAGCAGAAGAGAGGAAGCCGTGAGTTCGAAGCAGGCCGCTTACCTTAGAAGTTACGCAGTTGCTACTTTTGCCTTCCAGGCCAGAGGTTTTAATCCTCTTGATAAATTAAACGTATTGTAGTGTTCACAGTCTCTGTGCTACATACGCTTCCTGTTATTATAAGGCCAATCTTATTCTAAAGTTAAATTAGAGTTTAGTTTTATTTTGATATCTTTTAAGTTAGACCCCGAGTGGAGGGTCATTGTATTCCGAAGTACGGAAGTCATTGTATATAAAGAAAAAAATAAAGGGTTTTGTATACCCTTCGTCTGTATCCTGTCTACTTACTACAATTAGTGAACATAGCTTTAGTAAGCTCTCTGTTCTAGTCAGGTCATTGTATGTTTCCGAAGAAGGTTAGAAGAAACATTGAACCTGATAAGTTTACTAGATAACTAAAATGAAATTCTACATACTTAATAAGGTAATACAGCATATTTTTTCATTTATTCAAAATAAGGCTACTCGATATTATTCCAGGTTCTTTGGTTGTGCACTTGATAAAGGCACCAAAGATCATGTGAAAATTGCAATAAATTTTTCTTTCTACGACGTTAAAACTTCAGAACCAGTGTGCTATGTTTCAAATTTAATCAATAATGCTAGCATGTTTCATGCAATAAACAAAGAAAAATATAATTTTTTTTTTCAATGAAAAAAAAAATTAATACATAGTCCAATAATTATTCTTATATGGTACTGATTAAAATACTCTTTACATAAATGTAACTCTTAAGATTTACATAATGACTTTGTTGCTTTGACCTAAATTATACCTTCTTGATGAATAACTTGAATTTTAAAAGTAATATAGATTATTTTAATCTTTAAACAGATTATAGATTATCTGTACTTTTTACACACATCTCATCATCTAAAAAAGAGAGAATATCTGGTTTTAATTAATGACTTTTTTAGAAAACTCTCCTGCTTAAAATTATGATTCAAGTCATCGGAATAAAATCATTGACATCATGACAATGACCCCTTCCAAAAAAAAAACACTTAACAATATTTTTATAACATGCAATCAATAATAAATAGATAGACAGAAAATTTTCTTACCCTCCTTCTGGTATGAAGAAATAATGGAAACTCCCAGATAACTCAAATGTGACTTCGGCATATAAAGCAGTATCATCACCTTTATTGAAACTTTCTGATTTCCATCTCAGTTCTCTGTAAACAAGTCTTTTAAAGCCATCAGTAGGGTTTTCAGGGTAGTTGATAAACAGCTTAATTCTTTGCCCAAAAAGTGTTGATCCCAGTTTAAACTGAATAATAGAGCCTAAAGAAATTAAAAGTATTAACATCTCAGACAACCACATTTTTGAAACAATAGACTAAATACAAGCTAATCACATTAAATTTTCATCTCATTACTTGATGACTAACTAGCTGTCTTGATACACGTGAATCTTTGTCTGATAATCAAAAAGCTGTGAAAAGTATTGATGAGGTAATGCATCATGATGCTCAAAAGTACTTAAGCAACAACCCATTATGTTGCCAAAAAAGTATTTATGTGACAATCCAGTTGCAAAAGAAAACATCCTCCCAGCTAGCATTCTATTTTTCCATAAATTTTCACCAGTATTACTACAGATTATGATTCCTCCTCTGAGAATTTCAGCATAGTGGTGGACAGCATACTGCACTTTTCATTATCTTTGGAAAAATCTCAGGCTTTCTTTCTGCATGCATGTGGCTCATTTAAAGGCATCATGTTTTTTTAGCAAAAGTGAGTAATTTGCAAAGAAATGCTATTAATTTCATTTTGGCATTTTATGACGTCCATTATAAAACAGCATTTCACTTTTTCAGCAATAGCAATACTGTACAGGAAAAAAACATTTCCAGTGCACGAGACAACATATTGCAAATTCTAAAGCTATGCTCTTTTTAAATATTTTTTGTGATATTGCTGTTGAATTGAATTTTACATAATATAAAATCTGAAAATTTTCAGTTCCCCCCCTGCCCGCTTCTCATTTTAAAACTCTGGAGACAAGACATAGTTGTGCAGTTCTATGATATCCTTTCTAGCAAAAACAGACTCCTGTGTACATAGGGAGAACGACAGAGCATGAAAACAGGAAGTATGGTGTGGGCATCTTCAGTGGAAAAACAAGAATGTAGAAAATGTTCAGCATTGGATGCATCATTGAAATACTAAATGTAAAGATACCCAAACAAACATTTCTCTCCAAAGCTGTCAATGCATTCATAATCTTATGTTGAAGGAAGGAGTGCAAACAACAGAAATTACACATTTTTAGGGGAATTTCAACTTTTAAAAATTCATTACCAATAATTTTTTTAATAAAAATATATTATGATGGGTAGATTTGAGTAAGATATTGAAAAATACATTGATTTTACAAACTAAATTAAAACTCAAGTATTCATTTAGCAAAAAAATTTAACTGAAAGAAAAATTTTGCAATATAAAATTTTAAATTATGCCCAAAGAAGGAAGAGTGTACGTATCGGTTATCATGCACAGTTAACATATTAATTGTTATATTTTCTTAGCAATGATTTTTTGCAGGGCTGTGGAGTCAGTAGGGAAAATGACAGACTCCAATTCCCTGATATATACAGTCAAAAGTCGTTAATTCGGACACCCATAATCCGGAATGATCTATAATCCGGACCTCAAAGCTACAAACTTTCTGCGCATGCTTCGCGTTCACGCATGCGCACAGGCGTTTACGAGAGCGCGTAAGACCCTTACGGCTGCGAATATGTTTGTGCGCATGCGCGTTTAATGTTTAACGGAGTTATACGCTAAGCTAAAGTTATCTAATTCAGTTAATGTTGCAGATTGCGTTGTTCCTTAATCTTCGAATTGGATCCGGCTTATTATTTTTTGCAGACTGTTAGAGCAATTTTATAAAAGTAAGCTTGAACTTTCGATTATGTCAAGTAGAATTTCCGATATATATTTACTACAAAGCGAAAGTATGTTTTGAAATCCGAAATCTGTTTATCAATTTCACGCTGCTCTGCGGCAGAGGTGGGGGCAGAAACGTCATTATTAGATTATGATAGATTAGAAAGATTATGTCAAATAGAATTTCCAATATATATTTACTAATATGTAATTTGTATCTACAAAGCGAAAGTATGTTTTTGAAATCCGAAATCTGTTTTATGAATTTCACGCCGCGGATTGGAAGTTGATCTGTCAACACTATCCTTATCTTCAGAGCAGATGTTTTTATTTTATTTGGATTATAATTCCGTACTAAGTTTAGTATTTCGTCTCGATGTACTCCGTCTTTGATATGATTTAAATCAAGTTCCTCGTCATTATAATTCGCTTCCGATAGTGAAGAAAGTGACCCAGAGGTTATTGAAAACGAAAACATTTCGATTGACAAATTAGTCAGTATTCTCAAACAGCAATTATAGGACTTGAACAGCGGAACTTTGTAAACTAAACGAGAAATTATGTCTGTTTAATAGAATTAAAGAGAAAGTATTATCACATGAAACGAAGCAACTTACATGAAGGAAATGTTTTAATAAGTAAACAAATAAATATTAAGCTTTTCTTTTTGTAAATTTTGATACCCTTTTAGATCATAATTGTTCTTTATTTCATAAATTACGGTTTCATATTTTTAATTTTGTAATTTTGCATGCCATCTTACCAGATTTAAACTGATGATCTATAATCCGGAAAAATCGATAATCCGGAATCGCCGAAGTCCCGACGAGTCCGGATTAACGACTTTTGACTGTATTTAAACATATACACATGGGTTACAGCTTATTTCTTTTAATATACAAGAAGTAATAGATGCTACAAAAAATTGATGGCATAGCAAATTATTTATATTAATTAGCATTTATTATGAAATGGAAAAACTGGCATTAGAAATTCCTAAGAAAAAGTATAGCTTCGGCAAGATCTTTTTTAGAGGATCATAAATCCAATTTGATAAACTTCCAAGCTGAGAAAAGTCTTTCTACACTGACTTAAATACGAGAAGAGCTGTTATTGTTAGGGCTATTTCTTTATCTTTCCAGGATAGATTTTTATAAGTTCTAAAAGAGGTGCCTTGCAAGAGTAATCATATTTCTCTACTTCTTCAAAGGCCGTGTAGAAATCGTGTTTGTATTTTTTCATTTTTATATCTAAAGACACTTCGTTCTTTATTTTCATTCGCTTTGCCTTAGCCTTATCAATATTATATAAATATTCCTCAAAATGTAATTCATCCCGAGAAAAGGATGATAGAGACTCATTTGCAATGTCTGCAATTTGACTGTCCTGATTTGAACACTCCAATTGTTCCGAGAATGATTTCATTCTTAATGAAAGTTCACAGATGGCATTCTTTGCCTTTTTAATTTGTTCATTATCCAACAAAATTTGGTGTTTTGGATCTACATATATTAAACCCTGCAAGATCTCATTGTCTAACAAACTAGTTTCTCTTTTCTTCATTGAAGAAATGATTCCTTCTGAAATAAACCTTCCATTTCAGAAAGAACAAACATCACATTCTTCCATTCTTGCCTCCTGTTAATTCTTCAGGATGTAGCTTTTTTGTAGCTATATACGATGTAGAAAGAAGAGTTTCCAATTCTGAAAGATCATTCCACAGTCTTTCTGTTAGTGAAACATTAGGGTTATCTACATATTCTAAAAAAGGTTCTTAATTCTAACAACCTCTATATCATCAAATATGTACTTCCCCATCATGGCCCACCAGCGGCCAAGCGGTAACATTCTGAACACTGGTAGTTCGGTCCGAGGTTCGAATCCCGCGAGTGGGCTGGCTGCATGAGTGTTTTCATGGTTTTTCCCATGTGTAACATGTATATGAGCCAGTTTCCTTTAAAAAGTCCTCTACAAAGGCATCCCTACCTTAAGGCAGATAGCCCTCAAGTGCTTTGCCGTAATCTAATAAACCAAACCTTCCCATCACACAGCTTGATCAATAATTGCTCCTTTTCCTGCTCGCTTCCTAAGAATGTCATCCATTTCAGGAGTTCTTGCTTTAATTGCTGTTTACCGAAATTTAACAATGAGATTTGTAACTAAATGAATCAGTTTAATCAATAATGGCAAATATCACAATAATATGTCAATAAAATAGACAATAACTTTTTATTAATGTATATAGTCCATAAATAAAAATAACTCAGTTTGTCATTAATTTTTTTTTTCAGTTCACTTTAATTTCATTTCAAATTCAAACTGTCTGTCCAACAAACACTGGAGTCGGAGTGTTTTTAGCAGCTCCAGCTCCAACTTCTTTTACTCACAAATCTGCCAAACTCTGATTCCAACTTCGCAGCCCTGATTTTTAGGTGCTAAGTATTTGTCTGGCAGCAAAACAACTCCAGTGATAATTTGGTACTTATGTTTATCACAACCACACTAGTAGAAGTTACCAAATTTTCAGAATATGCCAAACTCTGGGAACCATGCTCATAACCATTCTTTAGGGAACCATGATCATAAAAATCTTTTTAGTTAAGCAGTATCACCATTTTTATATAGGTTCTTTTTGTTTAATCCCAAGTTCCAGTGGTTTTTATAAACAAATCATTATACTTTTTGCTTTAAATGTAATTTTAATATATGTGCTTGTGGGATTTATTAGTACTGGAAGAAACTATGGCAAAATTTCTTCAGGAATATAGAACATTGCCGCAAAATCTCTAAAAAAAAAAATTTGGTTTCCATCAGAAATGCCATTTCATAAAATTATTTTGCAATGTTCATTTTCATGCATTCTACATGAAACAATAAGTTTTATAAGAACTTTCTTTTCAATATTTTATCTTTTGAATAGGAAGCAATTCTTATAAAATAAATTCTAATTTTCAGCCACTTTGTTGTTTACTTTCAGCTTTGGAGTTTAGTTTTAATGTTTATTTCAGGTGAAGAAAATTGTTGCGAAGAAAATGAAAACCACTGATGAGTACCAAAAAACTGATGAAATAACTGATGAGTACCAAAAAAAAGCAATGGTAGATTAGCACAGATTTTGAATAAAACTCTATCGATTTAGAATGCAGTCTAACATACCCTCTATTTCTGAATATAAGCTGATCTGTGCATAAGGCAAGAGTATGTTATTTCTTCAAAAATTTACCCAAAATTCAAAACCCATATATAAGCTGAAATGAGAGGGGGGAAAATTCTATTACGTTCAAACATGTCACCACGAGGAGAGGGAATATTGCCAAGCAGGTAAAATGAGTGGAATTATTTTCCAATCAAATCACTGTTAAGTAAAATGCCAGATGACAACAATAATAGTT